AAAAGAAAGAAAAAAAATGAATTTGAACAATTGTATCAGGCTGCAACACAACAAAATTGAAAAAAGTAAAGGGGGTCTGAATACTTTCCGAATGCACTATAACTGACCTTGGTTGACCTCAGAAAGCTAAGTAGTACTTGTTTAGTACTTGGATAGGAGACCCTGAGGAAATCCCAGGGCTAGACTGGGAAGATAAAAAAGTACCCAGAAGGCAATGTCAAACCATTTCTGTCCGGTTGCTAAAAAAAACCCTGCACGTACATGTAATTACCAGGAGTTACTCAATTTGAGACACTTATTAGCTGGTATAAACTTAAAAGATTGCTATCAAGTGCTTGTTGCCATATTATTTTATATTGATATGTTACTATTTTTTATTTGATTTCATCCCATTGGCAGCATCTACTCAACTTCTGCTATTACTTGCATACTAAAACAGGAGTGGGGGGGAATCTTTTTTTTCTCCAGGTGCTGCTACAAAGGGGAAAAATGGTTGATGTCTCAAGAGTTTTGGGGAATATCACTTCTAGAGATCTCATAATTTCTCATGAAAATTCTGATATGTCACAAGATACTGTTATTCCTGCCTGACATGAGATTTTGATATTATCATTTAAAATCTCACATTTCAGGCAGGAATAGCAACAGCACTGTACTCTAGGGATTAATTTTACAAGGCTTATGCATTGATTTAAAAAAATAATTTGGTGGATCTGCAGATGGAATCAAGATCCCAGAGCCCCAAAATGCCATACCAACAACCCCTTCTTTGAAGTTGCAGGAAAAGGCTGTTTATGAAAGATACTAAAACCAGCAGAAAGAGAAGAGAGAGACAAGGAAACTGAGAGCCCAGACAAGTTGCCAAATTCCCTCCCTCTTTCTTTAAACTCATAGTACCCTGAATGAAGAAACTAAATCCTTGGAATAATTCTACTGTACCTATTGGAATCCCAAAATGCTTTATTAGATGAGAGCCATCTGCATTATGTATGAACTTGATGGGAAGTCCCAAGTCTTGTATAATAAATACATGATTTTCTGAATATTACAGAAACACGCCTCTTCCATATGCGCTCTCTTTCTCTCTCTCATCTGTCTGGTATGTGCCAATAAAGAAATTACATGTCTGTAGATTTCAAAATTCTACTTTCTTAATCCAAAGGGTAATTGTAGTTTTAAAAATAAAATCAGTGTCTGATTTAAAAATTAAAATACGAAAATAGGGGCATCTGCAAGTGCTGCCTGGCCTCTTCTGTTAATTTTCATAGCGCAGAAGCTATATCATCATCATGTGTGACAGAAGATAAAAATATTTGGCTTTGTAGTAATTCATGTGAAAAGGATTTTGAACTTGTAGTTGATCCCAGGCTGAATATGACTCAGCAGTGATGGGGCTGCCAAAAAGGCAAATGTAATTTTAGTTTGCGTCAGCAGAAATAGTTTCCAACTTATATAAAGCAGCAGTTCCACTATATTCATCACATCCCACCTCAACTACTGCATCCAGTTCTGGGCATCACATTTTAAGGATGCAAGTGGAAAGAAGAGCAAGGATGAACAGGTTTCTGGAAAATTAATCTTGAGAAATTAAGGAAACTATCTATTTAGACTTGAGAAAAGATGACAGAGGAGATATGACAGCAATCATTTATTGGAGAGGATGTCACTTAGAAGAACGCAAGAGCTATTCCATGTTATGTCGGAATGTGGAACGGAATAATGGTTTTAAGGTAGATTTTGACTAAAAATTTGGAAAAGGTATCTAATGATAATAGTTAAACAGTGGAATCAATTACTGAGAGAGTTGATGGGATCCTTTTCAGTAGGTGTGTTCAAGCAAAGGCAGGACACAGCCATCTATCAGGTATGCTTTATTCAGTTTGTATGCCACCCAATTCCCAATTCTGGATGTTCACCAAAAAATATTAAAACTATAAACTTTAATTTGGATCCTGCACTGAACACTGGACGTAGTGGTGTAAATGGCTCCATCCAACTGTTAGGTTTCTGGAAAGAGGGCAAGCTCCTTAACTTTGTGGAGAGATGGTTCCTCCCTCAGCTTCTATAGGAAAAAAGCCATACAGAGTTGCAGGAGGTGACAGGGAGCATCCCCCCAATTTGCTGAAAAGATAAACTCCACTGAGATCTTCCTTTCCCAGGAATTTGTTTCCCACTGGGAACAATAACAGTATGTACTACTTACATAGTACTATTTCATTTTAAGAGCAATGCTAGTCTATGGTGACAAATAAATCAGGAGCCTTTTAATAAGAATTTGTTAGTCAAAAAGGATGCAACCAGACTCCAAACTTTAAGAAATATTCCCCCCATACCCTCCCCTTAAATGAATACATACAAATTAGGACCGTGGTCTCTGCATCTCCTACTGCATATTATTTGAAGCTCTTCCTGGAGGAGACAGATGAGTAACCTGATCATAAAGGGGCAAGTGTGATGTAGTTAGGAAACTTCAGACCTTGGCTCAGATTCTCATCCCACTTTTAAACATAGTAAGTTTTCATCGTCTCCTTATCTTTCCACTCAATCCACCTTGTTGGAAGCTTGCAATACAGTAATAGAAATCAGCTGCACAATTTGTGCTATATGACTTCCTTGAAGGGTAAGATAAAAATAGCTGAGATGGGGTAATTTAAAACAATGTAGGGAATCCAATACACAATGTGCTTTATCGCAGAATACGCCAAATCAAATACAAATAGCAACGTACACTATAGACCAGCAGTTCTTAAAGTCTGATCTGGGGACCACTGGGAGTCGACCCTTTCAGGGGGTCTGTGAAGTCAAATATTTTAAAACTTCGGAGTTTTAATTTCTAATACAGTAAGCATCGATAGATATAACCCACATAAAACCGAAGTTCTTTGGGGTCCTCAAATCATTTTTGGGAATGTAAAGAGCCCAAAATGTTTGAGAACCACTGCTATAGCCAATTACGTGGGGAATTGGTATCATCTTACCTTTAAAAAAGTCGTTTCCCAAACAAATCAAAATGGAGCTGACCCTGGGGTAGGTGGAGGAGATGCCAGATTCTACACACATACTTAAACTTAACCCTTTCCTTACGAAGTGGGGAGGGTTGGGGAGAGACAGGGCTGTCCTCGAAAGCTGAAAGAAAAAAAACAGCTAAACTGAAGTAAGTGTGAAGGCTGCTTCTTGCGAACGGCGTCCTTCACGTCGGCTTCCTCCCTCTTTCTGCAGTCGGTTTGTAAGTTTAGGCGCTACGGGGGCAGTTTCCATTCGGAGCCGCGTTGACTTTCGCCTCCGGGGGTAGCATTTGCGGGCCCGGGCAAAGCAAGAGGCAGAAGCGGGGCGTTCGGGGGCGAGGGAGGGTCGGCGGGAAGAAGCTCCTCTTGCGGCCGAGTCCTAAATAGATGCCTGCATGGAAACCCTGAGAGGGGGCGGAGGTAGAAGGGGACACGTTACTTTGGGAGACATGAATCATCGCAGAAGTGCACAGCGCGAAGTCGTGGCAGCAGCGGCGGGCGAGCCTGGAGAGCGTGTGCGGGTTCGCTCGGCCCCGCTCCCGCCGCCCCCAGCTCGCGCTCTCTCCAAAACATGGCCGAAACCGGGGGCGGTTTTCTGGAGCAGCTCAAGTTCTGCATCATCTGGTCGTGGACGTACTTGTGGACCCTCTGGTTCTGCGCCATGCTTTTCCTCGTCTACATCTGGAGGGTGCCTCTAAAGATCAACGACAACCTGACTACAGGTAACCCGCGCGCCTCTTCCCTCCTCGCCCGACCTGACGCCGAGACCGCCGGCTGCGCGCCGGCGGCCGGTCGGCGCTCCGGAGGGAGAAGGCGGCGAGTTAGAAAGAAACTTTCTTCCGAGCCCACCCAGATCCGTGCTGCAGGTTGAAACGCCTCATCGCTCTTGGTAGGAGGGGAGAGTAATGTTTTCCTCCTGCTCCTGTTGTAGCTCCTAGGTAGTAAGGTTATTGGAGAGGACTCGGGCTGGCGCGCTGCTCGGGTTTTGTCCCCCTTCCCGTTTTTTCCCACCCTCTGCCGTTCAGCCCCATGAGCCTCCGTGGAAGACATGTTTAAATTGGGTATCGTGGCTTTGTGCCCAATTCTTTCTCCTCCCCAGTTTCCCTGCGGTAAGGTTTCAGGGCTTAGAAGCATGCAGACGTGCCCTGCCTCCGCCCCCCGGGCAGCCCTGCAGTCGGAAGGGGAATAAGGGGTGGAAGCGTTTGGGCAAACTGGTTGCACGCTGCGGGCTTGCTCTTTCCCAAACTAAAACTGTTACGGAAAAAAATATTGGAGGGGTGTTCCTGCACCCGGATGTGGCAAAAACAGCACATTAAAAACCAGCCAAAATAAAAGAGCCTTTCCAGATCTTGTGTCTGTGGATGTATTGGCCTGCAACTTCTACAGTTTGCGGTCAACATGTTGAGTAGGACAGGAGGAGCCGTGATCCTGTCCATATGTGTGGTGAACAAACAATCGTGGAGGTCTCAATTAGCTATCATCATAATCACTAAGAGTTGACAGGTCCGTGCTCCATGAAGGTAGTGAGTGTACAGGGCTAACTAAAGCATTTTGCAGGCTGCAGGGAAAGACTGTTATCCCACTGCGTGTCTGCATAAAGAAGTAATCAGGATAGTAATTGGTTGGGACAGTACACTGCGTGTCAACAGCAGCAGGAGCTTATGAGCCGCCACAAGTAGCAGGCTGTTCTTTCCAAGCTCTTGACAGGACGTGCTCCTTGCTCCATTTGATCTCCAGCAGCCGTGGCACCAGCATGTTATGCAAGTATGATAGTGGCACTGTGGTATCTGTTCACTGGGTGAGCTGCCCATCTGCTGATCTACTTGGTCAAGGATCTTTTGCAAGTTTTGTTCGTGAGATAATCTTTCATTTCGGGTAGAACTATAAGTTGCCTGAACTAGGAGGTAACTGATCAACCCTGAATATCCATGAGGAAGAATCGTGCAAACACAAGATTTGTTTTTGAACCTCTAAAATACGAATATAAGCTTTTCATCCAAATTAGAATATTTTCTTTGGGTAATAACTGGCTTGCTTCCTCTGAAAGATAGGATCAAAACCATACTAAGCCATAATATAGTATGTTTAGTTTTGCCTCTGCATATTGTGTGAATATAGCCAATTCTGATTTAAGAAACTTGGGCTTAAAAATAGAGACTTTATGTTACATGAATCCAGTAGTTGTGGCTGAAATTTTGATTTTGCCTTAATGTGTATTAATTTGCACTTATACTAAAGGTATTCATTTACTCAGTGATTAAGGTTTTTTTTTCAGAGCTTTTAATAGTTTGTTTGGAAATTCAGTATGGCCCTGCTGATTTGCCTAGGTCACTGTTCTCCCCAATTTCTACATGTAAATTGCACTAGTTTTACACAGATTCACTATTGAAGCTCTCTCCATTGGGAAATACTAGTGATTTCTTCCATCTGATTTTTTTAAAATAACCAACCCATGTGTATTATATTGTTTTCTTGTATGGCCCTTTTATTTAATGAGGCTTTATTAAAGGATTTAGTCAAAAGCTTTATTAGATTTCAGTTATTTTATATACTTATTGGATTGCTCCTATCTGTAATTCACAAAGCTCCCATATGTTAGCTGAGAGTTTTAAAAGGGTTAAGGCAGAAATACTGTCTGTAGAAGCCATTCTTCTGTGTGCTTAACCATTCTAGGTATTATAATTACTTTTACCATTTCAACAAGTGTTTTCTAAACAGATGGTAAAGGTTGCCTTTCAGCTGGCAACAGAACTTTCTTTTACATCTATTACATGTTTTTCACAGGTGACAAGATTGTTTCCACTGGCTAGAAGATATATTACTTTTAAAACTATTATGCGTAAGACAGCTGCAAAGATCCTTTGTCAAATTAAAAATAATGCATGGGCAGGAGTAATTTGCAGGAGCAAATCAGGGAACAATAGGTGTGATGTTAAATTCTAGTTATGGACAAACTCTGGTTAACTACTAATCAAGAACTGAATCTTATCTCCCTTGAAAGTCATGAAAACACATTTTAAACTTCCATGTAAGTATAAAAAGCCAACCTTATTATATCTAAATTCCTTAATTCAGAAATGTTTATGTCATGCTTTAAAATTCTGTGGGCATGTGGATGGCAGCTTTACAGGCCCCCCAGTATCTTTTTAAAAAATCCATTGACATCTTTGAGTCTCCCTAAAGGTTATCATGTAGATTTCTTTATTACATTTATAAACTGCCTTTCTTATAAAGCACTCATTGCTTCTTCCCCCCATAAGATTTTTTTTATTATAATAAAAACTTAATAAGTAATATCCTTCAGCTATCAGTTACAAACCTGATTGAATTACCTAGTCTAAAACAGATACATAACAGATATATAGGAGCCTCCATTGATAATACTTTACCTAATTGAAGAACTTCAGTTTCTTTTTTTTAATGTTTTAACAGTGTTCTCTCTGACAGTGTCTAGTAGGAGCATGTTAATAAGTTATTAACTCTGAAGGTATGCATGCTATGGTACTGTGATAAAAGATGTACAGCAATAAAAATATAATTTTCTGCCTGTTCCAGGCAATGTGGACTGAGACCGTAAACCTCAAAACACTATTTTTAAAACATTTTGTCATTCTGTACTGCAAACCAGAAATCATATCTACTTAATCTTGCAGCGTAAAGATTTAGATGAAGAACCTGCTAAACATGTAACTTAAACTGAGGGTTGGAAACTACAAATTCCTAGACTAGGCACGCCAAGATATTTTGCTGCCTAAGGGAAAAAAATTGCCCCACTTCCATTCTACTTACAGAAACCAATTCAAAAGATAGTTGACTTTTCTAGGACTGAGACAGTATCTTCCGCTGTATCTAAGATTAGCAAGGTCTAGTTCTTCAAGGATGCAGTGCAGCCCGTGATCCACCTGCTGTTCTATTCTCAAACACCTGTCTACTTCCCCCAACATCTACTACTGAGATGAGTGCCTTACTTTGCCTTAGTGTGGCTGTGGTCTCCATTAATTAAAAACATTTCGAAATATAAAAAAAATACATATTAAAAATAAATATAGGAATCCAGGTTACCAGGACACTTAAGACTTTTCTTTATCCATTTAAAAAGGTAGATATAAGCTGGTTATGTTGTATGTCTGACATAGTCACTAATACACCAAGATTGGAATGGTATGAAGAATATTGTTTGTGATTCTGTTTTTAGGGCTTTGGGGTTGCATGATGTCAACATACAACCAGAGATAACAAAGAATAGGAATTGTGTTTAAAGTATTATTGAGTTACGCAGCTTGATTGTATTTGTATGAAATAACTCATAAATGCCTAAAAATTAGAGCAAGGAGATGAATATTTTGAGAAGACTACTTTCATAGAATTTTTACTAAAAATAGTGTCATGGACAAAGAAGTTTTAAGAAATACAGATATTGGCAGAAAAGTAGAAAGTAGTATGCGGCCTGTTGAAGCAATGAACGTTTGCCCCAAGAAGCAAAAATGGCTGTGAATAATAGTGTGCTTTGCCCACTTTGTTATGTGAATGTAAGGGTTATATATTAAGTCTTTGTGATGTAGCCAGTTTTATGTATGGTTTGTTTTTCAACTATCTTTGTACTGTATGTATCAAATAATTTTCATGATATGAATATATATATATATATATATATATTTGGAAAATTAGCACTATATTTTAAAATTGTGTATGCATATTTCTGACAAAGTTTAAGCAATCATACATATTTATTTCCTCTTTTAGTTTTCTGTAATAATAGATTATGCTATTTGATATTAAGATAAATTTTAATTATTTTGATTGGTTAATCTTACCAGTTTCCTTATTGGGGTAGACAGTTTATTTTTGGGGGGGGTGGATATTATCTTGATAATACCATTTAGGGGTTTGCGTACAGTGTATTTGTGTGTATCAAGAATTCAGTTTCTAAATCTCTATCACTGTAGCAAACTTTATTCAAATAAAAATAAAATTATGCAATAAAATGACTCTTATTTTTCCCCATTTTATTTATTTTTATTTGTTGGAAGCAGTGAAGAAAGTTTGCAGTTCAGTTTAGATTTATTATATAAACAAGTTTTTGTAAAGTATGGAAAGGAAAAGGAGATTTGAGTGAAAAAATGCACAAAATCTACATTATAGGCTCTAGTTAAATATTCCCATATTCTCTTGTTTTGAGTAGTACAAGCTTTTCACCTCTTTCAGAAAGAAAGAAAAAAAGCAGAAACTCTGGAGAGTGTGATGAAACAGTAGTTCGTTACTCTGATAAAATGCAGTTAACTAGTTGCTTCCTTGTAAGATAGGAAGCCAGTGAGCTAATCTGGTGTGGAGAGAGAGAGTAGAAGATAATTGGAATGATTAAAAAGAGAGAAAGGAAAAGGAGATTACCAGTAGATGTAGAAAAAAAGGGGAAGAAGACAGAGACTTGTAGCACTTGTGACAAACTAAAGTTATTCTGTAAATAGGCATGGAGTTTTTTTGTTGTACCTCATTAAAGTGATACAACTTACATCCTATGCTATGTGTTCATACAATCTTATTGTTAAATAATTGGTCATCTGAGTAGATTATGAGGGCTACACAAAGTTTCAGTTCTGAAGGCAATAAAGATGTTTTGGAGGAGACACGGGCACTCATATAGCTCCTGTCTACAACTCCTTAAAGCAGCTACATCTTTTTCTGGGGTCATATGATTTGCCCTCCACAGCTGCAGTACAGTTCT